CCCCCACTTCTCACCTCCCCCCTTCCCACCTCCCTTGTCATCTCGCTGTTCCCACCTTCCCTACCAAGCCTCCATTTATCCACATGAAGTCCTTTTTCCGTCCCAGTTGTAGAGTTGATTGCGACTTTTGCGCTCTACGTGTGGAGTTGGAATGTATGTCTTCAAAAGGTCGTGTCACATTTTTTTTAATTTTTTTTTATAGAAAATGTTCCTTCTGTTATTAATTGATGAACGAAGGGAGGCCGGGGACCTCACAATTCTACCCGATTGTTTTATCCGCCAGGTTGGTCTGGCAGTGTCACACTTTTCCGTGCGCTTAGAACTTTGGATTGGATTTAAGATTATGATAGTTGCGCCCTTATGGTTGGGGGTTGATTTTTTTCTCACCACATGCCTTGTGTTAGATACCAGCTGACCTCTGTCCATGCGCTGTGTTACATTGCCGAGAGATGAGTCGATTGGAAGGAAAAGAATCCCTTTGTTTTGAAAGGATAGGGTTTAATTGAATCTACTGATAACAAGTGTGAGGGGTAAGGCTTCTGACGAGGTGATTTTTTTTCTTCTGTGTGGCTTATCTTTTGTGTGGCAGATCACGGGAATCTGATGGACCCGCATGATCCTCAAGCGGAGGAAGAGAATGCGATGGCAATGCTGCAGAAAAACAGAGCTGTTGTGGACAAGTACCTTCCGTATGGGATAAGGTCTACATGCCATGTACTTGAGGAGGTACAGAATAACAGCTATTTTTGTAATAATATGCCTTTCCAGTTCTTCATCTGAAGATATCCACGCAATGCTTAGCTGTTGCTGATCATTCTTCCGGCATTCTTCAACCCCTCGTGTCAAATCTCGCGCTTCGGCGGAGCGCCAGGGTGGTTGGTGTGAAAGGAAGGAATGATGTTTTTGTCTGTCTGTATTTGGAGTGTGATCCTTTAGACAGTAGTAGGGAGTCAGTGGGGGAGGGGGGTGAGTGGAAGTACGTCGTCTGCATGCAGCTATTTTTTTGTTCATCTTCCGTTTTGGATTCAAAAAGAGTTGCTTTTGTAAACTGGTAGACGTCTTTCCGTCGTATTTATTATTGCTGAAGTTAAGAATTTTCTGTTTTTTCTGAGTGTGCAATTATGGGTGATTTCACTGATTTGTGGATGCTTCCACAAATGCTTTTAGCTGGGGCACTCTTCGTCACTGTCTAGAATCCATAGACCAGTGAAAACCTATATTCTAGACAAGCTGTGTCTATATCATAGACGAGTATTGTCTAGACTATAGTTGAGTCTGCGTTTTTGAGTCGCAAGAAATGAACCTTACGCAGTCAGGTGATCGGCCAAGGTTTTTTTTTTTATGTTTGTTTTTTCGCAGCTCATTGTAGGTGTCTTTGAATGGGTCAGAAAACTGTGCCTTTTCAACGGCTCCTTTTCATCTTATCGTTGTCGTCGTGACGGTGTGCGAACCGATGGCTAGAAGATAGATAGTACTTTCGCTAGCTTGTATGCATTCGTAGACCTTCTCTGGTGAGGCAAGGTGTTGCTGTTTGCCTCAGATTTTTGTATTTGAAATTTGAGCTGTTGTTTAACTTCAAGGACGATTGTAGGGGCTCGTTTGCTGCACGAACTCGATAGGATGCTAGGTCTTTCCAAAACACAGTGGATTGGAGAGGGAAGGCAGCAGGCCTTAGTCTTTTGCGTATTGTTTTTGAGAAAGAGGAATGAAGGGAATGCAATGCATGAATGAAGGGAAGCATGCATGACCCGTCCTGGGACCCCTGGTGCTCACGGAAGTCCCAGTTGTGATCGAACTGGGTGAAAAGGAAGTACCCGATTGCGGTTGGATTGCGTGAAACATGATGTGCAGGGCTGTGGATTGCGTCAAACAGGATGTGCAGTCTGTCAGCCCTGTGAAGGGACTAAGAGGTAGAGCAGAGCACGCAATGTTTGCAAGAAAAGAACCGGAAAAAAAGGCGCAGTGGGTAAGTTCACCCAAAGGGCAGCAGCAGTCGATTGCTGCTGACAGAAACAGGATGGAGCAGCAAGGAAACAGTTGGGAGGTAGAAGTCCGCTGCCTCAGCTCAACAACAGAGGCTGTGAATCTGGCGGTGTGAAGTCGAGCAAATAGAGGAGGGTAGGGATTTGATGGGTTGATACGAAGCAATGCAGTGACACGCCAGTATTGCAAGATGGAGAGGCCAAATGGGTGATTCGTGTAGGCTCTGCCTCTTTGGACACAAGGGTGATGACGTTCTGGGTTGAGATTTTGGTGGGGTAGGGGCGGCATCGTATGGGGGAGCCAGACCTCTCAAGCTGCCACCAGCGTTTTCAGACCCACACACCCGAGCCTGCAGTTTGGTGGTAGGCTGAGGAGTGGCGGTGTCCGAACCTGTAACAGGCGTAGTTTCCCCTCCCTCGCAGAAAAAAAGGGCAAGATAAAAAAACCTGGGAGGTGGGATTGCAACCTCCCGTACAGCAAGCGTTAAATAATGTCATTCTTGCGAAGCATGAGTGATGGTCTTAAGGGTTGATGACTATATATGTCGCTTGTTGCGTACATGATGCATGATGGTCTTAAGGGTTGATGGCTATACATGTCACTTGTTGCGTACATGATGCATCTCAGTGAAGGCGCACTTGTGCCTTGTAACCGCCCAGACACTGATGCATGGCCACTGAGAAAAGAGGAGATGGATCTGAGGGACTGCGGCAGAAATAGGAGGAATGGTGGCGGCTGGATGTAATCAAAGAGAGGGTAAGCTCGCGTATCCGGAATCACAGCATCGCATTGTCAGTTGTCACAGGATCGCATCGTCAGTTGTCAGTTCAGTCCGAAGCGGGCTTCACGTTATCTCTTTCGCTGTTCAAGTTCTTCCTGGTGATGGTGTGCAGTCATCTGAATCGAATCGTAGGTCGACAGCTGAACATGTCCTTGTCGATGATGTGTGGCTCTGGCATGAGCTGCTGTTCTCCTGAGGGCTGGCATGGCCAGATGTTTGTAGGCAGAGGAGTGTTTAGTGGAGAGACTGATGATCTAGAGGCCAATCAAAGGCTGTTGGATTTTGGGGTTTCTTAGAAACCTGTAGTAGGGCCGATGTTTGCAGAACGGATACTTCAAACTCCCCTCTGCGGCTGCCGAGTGGTGGTGTTGTGTCCGATGTACAGTGATGTTTCGAACTAAGTAGTGTTTTGCGGACGGTGATGCGGCGTTCAGCACGAATGGCAGAGGGCATGCTAACACTTCGCTGAATGTGTACTTGTCAGCGATCGAGCCCATATATTCGGTCGTGAAGTTTCGGTCTGCGTATTCTTCATGACAACGTGCTGGTCTACGCTGTTCATTAAGTAGAGAACGAGATTGCTCTCAATTTCTGACTACTAGGAGATGCTGCCCTGGCAGTATCGAATTCGGTGTGCCATCGGAAAATAGGAAATGATGTCACAAACCGGGGGGGGGAGGAGGTGGGGAAGGGGGTGGGGGGAGGGGGAGGAGGGGGATTGTTAAAGGAGGCAGGGAAGGGGTTGGTTGACAGCAGGGGTGGTGGGTTGGGATCGTGGCGGGGAAGGAATGCTTTTTTTTTCTTTTTCTTTTTTTGTGGAGTGCCCACGATTGTATTTAGTGCATTGAGTGTAACATTAAGTTTGAAAACTCTGCTGTATGCTGGCGGCGCAGTAGACTGCCAGGCTTTTCTCAATGCCGCCGAGGTGGGAGTTTGTCTATTTAGTAGATCTGTTAGATCGGAAGCAAAAGCAGAGAAGTGAATTGCCGAAGACTTCCTGTCCGTCGCAATATAGCAGTTGCGGCCGTTCTGCTACTCGATATGTTTCGCTGAGCCTTGGAATCATTATTCCGCCAAAGACTTCCTGTCCGTCGCAATAGCGTTTGACTTTGCCTATCATTATTTCATTATTCCGTTCAAGCAATTCTGTAATGAGCTAGAGGAGGTAGCATTGTATTTGGACGGGGGGCGGTGGTAGGTACAGTCAAAAGGGTTGAAAAATTGCAAATCAGTTTCGATCGGAATAGAAGGGAGGCAGCAGAGGACAACATGTAGCAGCAGGATGGTCTTGAATTCTGAGCTTTTTTCGAGCTTTGCCGGGATTTGCTATGGCAATGTCGAATCGATGTATTGTCAAGACTCGATGTGGAATCAGTTGCCTTAGACAGCCGGAGGGTGGAACAAAGGTTGAGTCTTGGTACATGAAGAACTGAGTTGGGTTTCGGTGGGAGGAAGAGGTGTTGAAAAATGTTATGTTCCGTTATTGACCATTGTCTGCACCATTTTGACGAGTAACCGCAGATGGAGGTAGCAAATGACACCCCCAGTAGCAGCAGGATGGGGCCGAATTATGAGGCAAATGACACCCCCAGTACCAGCAGGATCGGGTTGAATTATGAGGCAAATGACACCCCCAGTACCAGCAGGATCGGGTTGAATTATGAGGCAAATGACACCCCCAGTAGCAGCAGGATGGGGTTGAATTATGAGGCAAATGACACCCCCAGTAGCAGCAGGATGGGGTTGGATTATGAGGTTCGACCATTGCTGGGCTTTGCTATGGTGGTGATGTGTTCACGATATATGTGGAGGCTCATTTTGGAATCGAATGTGTTAGTCAGCCAGCGACAGGGAGGCGCTAAAGTTGAGTCTTGGGACATTAACTGAGGGGGGTGATTTGGGGAGAAAGAGGGGTTGAAAAACGTTTGTTATCGACAATTGTTTTTGTCACAAATTTGTGCCATGTGGGGAGGGACAGCCAGATCGATGGTGCTTTGCTTGCCCTGTCTGCAAATCAGATGCTCGTATTTTTATTTTTTTTCTGTTAGATGAGAAAGATAGCAAGGGATGAGCGGAGCTGGAAAGAGAGAGGTTAGGAGGGTGAGCGCGATATCTATATATATATATACCGGGCAGTTCTATTTGTGACGATATATATATATATTTTCGGTATAAAGGACCTCTCTGTAGCAGGCAGGCATCATTGGTGGAGTTGTTTTTGTCTTTGCTTGGGTGGTGCTTATTGAACAATATACATGGCGCTCAAATTGCTGTGATTGAACTGTGGTCCTCACCTTCTGCTTCCGTTGGTTGCTTTTCGTTTCTCTTTCTTTCCTCTTTTGGAGAGGATTGGGCGCTGCAGGTTGGTTGGGGAATTAAATGGTTGGGTGTGTATTTGGCTGGACCTGCATATGACAGTCTCCTAGCGTCGTACGGATGCAGTGACAAGGTTACGATTAAAAAAAAAAAAAAAAAAAAGCTTTTTTTTCGAGTGGAAATCCCGTGCGGTACAAGGCCACATGATGATTTAGTTTATGTTGTGAAATAACAATTGTCTGGTTGTTGACATTCAACCAATTTGCATTCAACAGAAGTGCATCTATACCATTGTTTGTTGTGTAAACCTTGTGTCAAATTCCTTTCCGAATGTTTTGTAAGCAACTACGAGAAATGTTACAGCCCCCCTTGTTATGTTTCTCCCTTTCCTGTGGGGTTGTATGTATCAGCTGGTGAGTCGTGGGTGTAGAGCCATCGTTCATCTTAGCAGCAACACTCACTGTGTTTGCGGTCAGGATCCCCCGTCTTTTTTGGGGGATGTTAGTCTCGAGCTCTAGTTGACAATGGATGACAGCAGCTTGAAATTGTATAGAACCCAACGTTTTGGGCGTGCCCTTGAATATGAGCTAGTATGGCCTGAGTGTGAGGGATGACATCTGTAGAGCTCTTTTATTTGAGCTAGTTGGTTTTGCTAGTGAAGTTGTCCTAGACTGGGAGAGAGGGAGCAAGTGTGTGTGTGTGGGACAGTGAGAGCAGGGGAAGTGAGAGAGGGGGATAAGGAGAGGGAAGCAGACAAAAACATGTGGGGAATCAGTGAGCGTGCGACAGTGTGTGTGTGTGAGAGAGAGAGAGAGAGAGAGAGAGAGAGAGAGAGAGAGAGAGAGCTCAACCGTCTACACTTGTTGTGCATCATTAATACATCCACTAAATCTCTACATCCGTTTTACTGCTTGTAAGGTATATGTGATGCTTCGATAGAATCTCAACCGTCCTTTTCTATGCGCTTTTGATGGGAGGTATAGGATAACGATGAATGGCCCAGGGAGTGGTACATAGAGAACCAGGGTATCTGTAGAGAAGCTGTTGGGAGGGTGGGGAACACTGTTCGGACTCGTCAAAAAGTTGCAAAACACTGTTAGGACTCGTCACAAAATTGCGATTGTACTCATGTCCATCTGGATTGGTGGTTGAACCATGAAGAGGGAAGAGTGCAGGTGAAGGGGTTGGAGGGAAGTTCGGAAGGAGGGACCTGATTCTCAATGCGACATGGCAAATGAACAAACCGTGAAGAAAAACGTATTTGGCACTCTGCATAGGCTGACTGGGTGTGGGGAAGGGGAGGGAAGTGTGTGTGTGTGTGTGTGAGAGAGAGAGAGAGAGAGAGAGAGAGAGAGAGAGAGAGAGAGAGAGAGAGAGAGAGAGGCTGGGGGACAGTGACACACGCCTGATCACACACACACACACACACACACGCACACAGAGAGAGAGGCTGGAAGACAGCGACACGCTCCTGATCACAGAGACAGGGAGAAAGCGAGAGGCGGCAACCGGGGGGGCATGAGGGGGAGTTAACAGAGTGGTGATGTGGGGTATTTGGCGCATGCGCACACGTAGCAGGAGTATGTGGTATACGATGTTTTGAAGACTCTAAAACAAATGTGGGGGCCAACAACAGAAAGGTTGCAGAGTGGGAATGATAATGGGAAATGGAATTGGGACTGACACTCGGGTATTTGGGGCATATGCGTATACGTCGCAGGGGGATGTGATATACGATGCGATGCTTAACCAGACAAATGTTGGGGCCAACAACAATAAGTTCTACGTTATCCAGGTTCTAGGTGTGTTATCGTTTTCTTTCCTTTGGCTTGCTAGTCTTTCGATTAGTCCCTCGTTCTTCTGCTACTTCATCTCGTTTGCTTCCGAATGTTTTGAATTCCATTGGAAGCAGTGTGAAAGGAGTTCTTCAAACTTCTTCTCTGCTCTTCTTTATGTCTGATTGTGGTGGTGTGCTATTCCCTGATAATATGTATCTTGTGTTCTTCCTCTGCATCGCATCTGTCTCAATGTACCTGTCTCCTGTTTCTCTGTACTTCGTCTGTGTACATCCCGTTGTTGCGTTCGCTTCATCCTCTGTGCGGTAGCCTCTTTATTGTATTTCCATTTCGTTTACGCCCCGAACGCGTGGTGCTTGTCTGAGGTATAATACTCGAGCACTGGATTCATCCGGCCCATAGCCCATGTGGCTGAATGGTACACCCGTGGAACCGCTGGCAAGCCACCGGAGATCCAATCACGGCTGAATCACATAAACACGAAAGCGGCATCAGAATATGACTTGAAATCCTGCCTGCGATTTGAGTGGCACCACACGTCTGCTGGCTGAATGGTACACACATGTAACTGTCGATAACCAGAAAGCCTTTTTTTTATTTAGATTAAAAAAGGAGGGGCTCTGCGTTCTTACCCAGCAGATGTTGCGGAATGGTACATCCGTGTAGCTGTTGCTAAGTAGACCTGTGTTCGAATCCTGATGGAATGAGGTGAAAAAATCACCTCTGAATTGCCTATGGCTGGTCAGGTCGATGACAAAGCTGTGGATCCGATACACCCCCCTCCCCTCAGCACACAATCACATGGCACTCGTTCCCTTTTCTTTTTTGTTTTCATTCCGAGCAGGACGGGTTGCGGTATCATCATCAAGCTGATTCGCTCCACGTCAGCGAAAATCAGCAGGACTCTAACTCATGGCTTTTTATCAACAATTCGTGGCGGTACGATTCAGCCGCATGGACTGCTCCGAATCCACACGGCCTTCTTATCTGCGTACTCTGTACTTCTCCCAATCGGCAAACCACCCAAATACCCAAACTGCATGTTCACGCTGCTTCTCCCAGTATGAGGAGGTTCGAACCCCAGTCAGCTGTCTCATGAATGTAGAAGAACTTCAGAACGTTCATCTGGGTTAGGACTGCAAGTCAGATATGATGGGGACGTGAGTACGCTGGACTGTGGATTATGTGTCGGGCATGGGATGGTGTATATGGATTATGTATCCGACTGTGTGAAGTGTCAGAGCATTTGGACTCCCATTATCCATTAGCCTTCCCTGTCTGAAAGAGCTTTAGAAGTTTCAGAATGCTTGCCTGTTTCTGCTGGAAGCCCAGCCAGCTATGACGAGGGCCGTAAACCACCACTACCTCTGAGCCTCTCTTTTTGTCGAGGTGTGTACGCCCTGCCCGCCAAGCTTTGCAGAAGCGAGATAGAGCGGTGTTTTGTTTTCTTTCCTTTTTTTTTTTTTTTTTTTTTTTTTTTTTTGCTTTTTGGTTGGCACTGCCAACCTTCGGAATATGCTAGCCCAGAGCCACAGAAGAACCAGAAATGATACATTTTGGTTCTTAAAGCCACCAGGGAAAGCTATAGGTAGTTTAAAACTGCTAGTACACGGCCCGAGCCTTGTAGAAAATTTTGTTCATTGCCTACTCCGAAAATTTCGCAGCTCCGGCCTACCAGACCACAATGAATGGTGATCACTGGTCAGCCAAAAAAAAGAAAAAAAAAGTGCGCTGCTGGCGGTTCGGAAAAGCTTGGTACGCAACACAGCGCAGCGCAGCGCCTCCGAGGCACCTCCGAGTGTACTGGTGGTTTATGGAGAAGGCTGTACAACACCCGTTGGCATATATGCCAAAGCACACACAGGTTTATCGGCGTGGTCTATGTGTGGGATTGGTGGTAGTTTGCCTACGGATGCGTTTATTGGATTAAACGACCAGCACCCGCGGGGCACTTTTCTCTGGGGCTGGAGACGTGATGTGCTTTAAAATAAAAAAAAGACCGGCATGGACCTCTTCTTGGCTGGCGCTGCCAGCCATTTTGCTCTGGTGACTGGGCCGCTTGAGTTGTGCCAGCACTCACTCAGCGACTTCGAATAACTGCCGGGGAAATGTACTCGTCCAGCGGCTAGACGGTAAGACCCCCCGTGCACCACAGGTACTCGTGGTTTAAGATGCCAGGCTGACCGCGTGCACCACAGGTACTGGTGGTTGGTGACATGTCTTTGATCCGTGCCGCACTTTCGGCTTTTGGTCTTTGACCCGTGCCGCACTTTCGGCTTTGGACCAAAATAAAAAATAAATCTGCATGTCGGACTGCAATACATGTCTTACCACAGACTGCGTGAGACTGAAAACTGCCGTTCGAGTAAGGGTATGCTCATAACGCAGTGGGATGCTGTCCTTTGCTTTGCTGCCAGAAACCTTTTTTTTTTTTTTTTTTTTTGAAAGTTGGCAGGCCTTATCCTTATTGTGTCCGTCGAAGTGCCTCAGGATTCCACGCCATGATCTGTTTGTTAACAATAATATGTGTGTAGCGTTAGCGAACTGCTGGACCACACACTCATAGCAATTACTTTGTATGCCTCATGGCAATTACTACGTATGCCTGACATGGGCTGGGTGGTCACACACATTGTTTCTGGTCCTTGTCAGGCACTCGTAGTAATTGCTATGAGGCATTCAAATTTCAAAGTAATTGCCATGAGGTTTTGAACCACCAGTACCTACCACATTTTTTTGTACTCCCCGGCCTCGAATGAATTTGGACCGGAGGGGCAATCCGATTCAGCGTCGGCGTTAACGGCCACCCCAATCCGTAGGTACTGGTGGTTATAATCGCTCTTGGTGGTAGATGTTTGTGGCGGACCCGCACTGGCTAGCGTGCTGCTGAACGGTTGATTGATCTTTCAGAGAATCCCTTTTCTCGCTTCTAATCGTGTTTTTGAACCGTGGAGATTTCTGTAGTGCTTGGGATTTGTATTTCCAGGATTTATATTATTCTCCCAACTGGTTAAACCACCAGTACCTATCTCATTTTTCGTACCCCCGACCTCGGATGAATTTGGACCGGAGGGGCAGGCCGATTCGACTTCCGCGTTAACGGCTTTCAACCGGTAGGTACTGGTGGTTTAATCACAGGGTTAACTAGGGGTAGTAGCAAATATATTCCATCACATGCAAATGAGAACTTTGAAGACTGAAGTGGAGAAGGGTACCCATGTGGGGGGGCTTGGGGGGGGGGGGGGGGGGGGACTGTTGGAGTAGGGAATGATCATTAGTTGCAGACATGCAGGGTATGGTGTGAGTCAACTGGAACACATTTTTCTTTTACCAATTGTGTAGCAGC